TGGTTCGATATAATTCGACAAGCTGATTCGGAATATAACCATAGTTTTTCACTTCAAAAAATAAGATAGGTACCTAAAACCGGATTTTCTTCCCGAGATCTCGATTTTTTGGGCACCCCCTGGAATAGCCTAGAAGAGATTTCATAATTTGTCACTACTATCATAATTAAGATAGATAGGTAAGTATATATGGGGACAAATGCGCGCTCAATCATAGGTTATCTATTTGTAGGATATGGAACGGTACGTTTTCACATAGATTTTCTGCATAGAGATTCTTTGCTTTCTACTCTATTTTATATTGGATTACGAACATTTTTTGACGTATAAAGTCTACAAATGAGCAAGTTATTTGTGATATTGACTAATGGCTTCTTTGAAACGTTGAGAAGTGCTATTTCAGAAAATGATAGATCATATATGTATGTATCTAGACAAATGATTAAACTCCAGCTGCATTTATTTATATAAATGAATCAGTCCCAAAGAAGAGCACTATTTGTGCGAAACTTTTCTGCAGCCAACCGCCTTTTCCACACAAGCTTTGTTCGAGTGATAGTCTAGTTCTAATGTTCGATTTTCGTTTTTGTTTGAACTTATTCAAGAAGACATTCGTTTTTGTTTTTGTGTAACTCACATATCAAAAAGTGAATGTAATTTTATGTCGAGATTTTTTCGGCTCTCCTCTTCTCTATGTTTTTTACATTTTCTCAATAATAAAAGTGTCATTATTTTAATAGATTAGTATGTTTATAATACACAATTTATAATGAATGGTTCGAAAGTTGCTATCTATTAGATGAACAATATAATTCTAGTTTAATTAGTATATGAATCTGTATAAATAAGAATAGAATAGGTATCTGTAGTTAGGTGTCTTCTATTAAGTGAATAGATTATGTGCAAAACATAATATAATTATCAATTCACGCTAGATTTTCTTTTAAATATATTTCTTTTTGTTGATACGAAAGTAGTAATATCTGTTACTGTAAATGTGATATATGAGTTCTATATTTTAGCCCAAAAGAGACTACGCTAACAAGCTTGTTTATTTTTTGTTTTCTATTCGTTAGCACTGTATTTATTGACGACATTATCTTGTGATAAAAAGTACACAAGAGTACCTACTATTGTCCTTTGCAAATCTATATAAATAATCAATAAATTAGACTGTCTTTCTTTCTATTTGTATTTCGATGTAGTCTTTTCAAAGATTTTAATCAATTTATTGAATTTTCCAGAAAATAATTCCTATCATTTTATTTAAAGAACACAAACATTACACATATCTTGATAAATCTAATTTATCATGAACGAAAAGTTTTTTGACTCTTGAATAATTGATTTGTGTGGCATCTCTTGTAAAATAGTGTGTGACACATTGTAATTGATCGTAATCGATTATCCGATGAATATCATTTGGTAAACACATTTTTGAATTGAATAAAAATTGTTTAGCATAATCATCATGGACGTGAAGGAGATGTAATTGATTAAGATGTGAATATTCAATGATTGACAACTTTTTATTTTTGTTATTTGACTTGTGACGTTGTGCTTCCAAATAATGTATAGTTAAGTCTTTCAGAAATGGAAATGCTTGAGAAATTTGAATGAAAAATTCATGTTCAAAATGACGTTCATCAAATAACGTTACTTCTTGAACGGAATTGTATAATTAATTCACCCAAGTAATAGTATAATAATATGTTAATGTATAGGGATGTGAATAAATATGACATTGGCCTTTTCGATCATTTGGAAAATAGTCAACAGAAGAAATAACTTTGTAATTTTCAAAACTTAAGAATGTATGTTGAATGTCTTCTTTTGATGGTAAATCTATTAAACTCGAAAGTGATATCTCTCAACGAATATTAAATATAAGTTGTTTTAATTGTAGCAAATAATTGATAATGTTTTCCTTCAAATTATTACCATCAATAAATGTTTCATTGTAATCAATTGCAAGATATAAAGCCAAGTTTTTTAGATTCGATATTCAATGAAGAAGTGACTTAATTAATTCATCATAAAGAAATGTTTCATTAATACAAAATAATGAAAAATGGTTTAAATTAGGCAGTTTTTCCTAAAACAAAATATAAGCAATTAACAGATAGAATAATATTAATTTAAGAACAAATAAATTCTCATTTATAAGAATAATTGACTTATTGTTTTTATGAAATAGTTAACCTTGTTATTAATAGATGATCGAAGAGGTAAATATATAAAACGAATGAAACGACCATCGAGTAGATAAAGACAATCATAGAATTCATACACATTAACATGTAATTCTGTCAGAGTGAAAGAAAAATAACTTTGAAAATTGATGATTAAATGATAGATAAATAATTTCAATATTTGATGATTCGTAGAATTTCAAATGATGAACATTGTTGAACACAAGCAACATGGTTGAAAACATGTTTCCTTGTGTAGTCTTTGGAAATTCATCATGTATATAATGCCTACCGCTGACAGATAACTTCGTAATCTGTTTTTGAAAGATTTAAACTAAAGCCAAGTTATCTAAATATAAATATAAGATTATTAGAAGAAAACATACATACATATATATATATAGAAATTCATTCTCGATGTTTTCTAATATCCTTGTTTACAAAATAAATTTATTTTCATTTTAACATTTCTGTTCTCTTTCTCATAATCAATCATTGTGTTTTCAAGAGGTTTAATATCTAATTGATATTCATAATTTCATATGATTTGTTACAAAGTAGAAGAAGAAAATATCTAGAAATTCAATTGATTAATTTTATTTATTTGATAACTTCTTTATATATAATACTAAAAATAGTCAAATTCAATAATCTTACCAGTGAAGATATCTATGTCAATTTTCTCGTTCATAATAAAAATCTCAAGTTGACTTAAATTTGTATAGTTACCAGCAAGAAGAATACGTTCCATAGACAATGTTTCGAAATTGAACCATTTGATTCTGTTACAAATTTGAGGTAATATTTCTAAACATAATCGATCAAGTACTATATCAGTTAATGGAGATGTAAGATGAGTCGATGGATTATGTTCCATTAATGCAAGTTGACTAGTAAAAACAGGATCACGTACAAATGGATTGAATCGTGTATTAACACCTATTAGAGAGTAAAGTACTTCGACATTGTTCAATTTGTTTAAAATGATCATCAATATCTCATCAGGTAATTTCATCAATTGAGCGAACGGATATTTCATATTTATATTCATTTTCAATTTTTCTTGTTAGATTATGTATTATATATATCTTCTCTCATTTCTCTGCTAAACCCATCATTTTCGCACGATGAATATATGAAAAATAATCTTGTTTTATAGCGATACAAATCAAGTGTTGCTTCTATCGATTAAATGATAATATTTTGTACTTTAGGAAGGATGTGGCTGTGTAGGTGTGGTTAGTCTAGCCACTCATTTTCAGACAGACACCCACTCACACAGTTAAATCAGATTTAAAGATTCATGATGCTTCAATAATATCATCAAATAAAAGAGTAGATAGTGTGAGTGTGGGTGAAGTACCAAAAAGCACTCACATCCAAGCACACCACAACGACATTGACTCACACCTAACCCACACACATCCACTTCTCTATTCTTTTTGTCCATGTTTATAAATGCGTTCATTTTTTCTCTCACTGACAGTCTTTATTACGCAGCTTCAAATCGCATATATTCATTTTTAAACTGAGTCTAAGATGTGGCCAGACATCAACTGAGTTTGAATGAAAGAATGTAAATCGTGGAACAAATGTATAAACCTGAATATTCAATCCTAGGTCAAATGGTTATGACGCCATGAACTGGAGAACAAATATTTTGCTCAATCAACAATAAATAATTAATGAGTATTTGTTATTTATTTTTCGGTAAATACATTTAATAATAAATAATAAAGAAAAAACTACCGAATAAATCATATTTTATTTGTGAAACGTTTCGTCAACTACTGTTGACTTCGTCAGTCAAAATAAAATGAAGTTACATGTAGGGGTGGCACTTTAAACTTTAAAAACACTTTAACTTTAATTAAAGTTTAAAGTAAAACACTTTAAACTTTAAACTTTAATTAAAGTGAAAAATTTTCAAACTTTAAACTTTAATTAAAGTTTAAAGTAAAATACTTTAAACTTTAATTAAAGTTTAAAGTAAAACACTTTAAACTTTAAACTTTAATTAAAGTAAAAATTTTAACACTTTAACTTTAACTTTTTCTTTAAAGTTAAAGTGTTTGTGTCATGCCATACTATAGGGGTACCCTTAGGTCCTCAACTGCTATACTATTGGGGTACGCTTAGGTCATCAACTTTACTATAGGTTATCGAGGGCCAGGATTCCGAATCTGACATCAGATTTTATATTCGACCTTCCCATTGGTTAGAAAGCCGACCAATCAGAAATCAGCTTTTTTATTTTAAGCTTTTTTCAGGATTTTGATGAAACTTTACTATAGGTTATCGAGAGCCAGGATTCCGAATCTGACATCAGATTTTATATTCGACCTTCCCATTGGTTAGAAAATCGACCAATCAGAAATCAGCTTTTTTATTTTAAGGTTTTTCAGGATTTTGATGAAACTTTACTATAGGTTATCGAGAGCCAGGATTCCGAATCTGAGCTCGGATTTTATATCCGACCTTCCCATTGGTTAGAAAGTCGACCAATCAGAAATCAGCTTTTTTATTTTAAGGGTTTTGCGACTTCTTATGAAAGTTTGCTATAGGTTATCGAGGGAGAGGATTCCGAATCTGAGTTCAAATTTTATATTCGACCTTCCCATTGGTTAGGAAGCCGACCAATGAGAAATGAGTTTTTTTATTTTAAGTTTTTTACGACTTCTGATGAAGTTTTGCTATAGGTTATCGATGGCCAGTGTTGCAAATGTGAGGTCAGATTTTATATGCGACTTTTGCTTTGGCTAAGAAGTCGATCAATCAGAAATGAGCTTTTTTCTCCTTCTTGTAGAGAAGAGTCTAACAAGAATAAATTGTTTGCTTGCTTCTGTGTTCGCACTTCACTGATTGTTCCAAGAATAATGTGAAAAGAAAAGGGATTATTTTCCTTAAAGCTTGACCAAAGGTAACCGGGGGTGGGAGTTCAAATCTGAGGTTAGTTTTAATTGATTATTAATTATTAAGATTTTCTGGAAATCTTGACCAAAGGTAATTGAAAGTGGGGAATCCGAATCCGAAGTCAGTTTTGATTAATTATTTGTTAATTAGGTCTCACAAGTCAGACCTTTCACTGTTCGGAAAGCTCAACTCAAATGTCTAGATGAACGTGACAGAAAAACACAGCGAAAATGTGCTCATTTCACTTTTTTGAAATGGTATAAATAAATAATTTGCTGAGAGTTCAGAAACAGCATTTCTACAAGAAAGAGCTGAGCGAGTCGGCAGACGAGCGTTACTGTACTATAGGGGTATCCTTAGGTCCTCAGGTGCCATACTATAGGGGTACTCTTAGGTCCTCAGGTGCCATACTATAGGGGTACTCTTAGGTCCTCAACTGCCATACTATAGGGGTACTCTTAGGTCCCCAAGTACTATACTATAGGGGTATCCTTAGGCCATCAAGTGCCATACTATAGAGGTACCCTTAGATCCTCAAGTGGTACGCTATAGGGGTACCTTTAAATCCTCCAGTGGCATACTATAGGGGTACCCTAAGGTCCTCAAGTGCCATACTAAAGGGGTATCCTTAGACCCTAAAGCCCTCTACTATGGGGTAGCCTTAAATCCTCAAGAACTATACACTCTTAAAAATTTTCGTAGTGTAGGAAACCGACCAAAAAGGCTTCCGAGCGCTCGGAAACCTTTTTGGTCGGTTTCCCACAATACGGAAATTTTCAAGAGTGTACTATAGGAATACCCTTAGGTCCTCAAGTGCTATACTATAAGGATAGCCTTAGGTCTCAAGGCATGTATGAAAGGGGTGCTTTAGGCCTTCAAGAGCTATGCTATAGAGGAACCCTTAGGCCCTGTAGGTCTTATACTGTGAGAGTACCCTTAGATCCTCAGGAGCTATACTATGGTGGTATCCTTAGGTCCTCAAGTACCATACTATGAAGGTACCTTTAGATCCTCAAGAGCTGTACTACGAGATAATCTTAGGCCTTCAAGGTCTGCACTATAGGCTATAGTATAGGCGTTGAAGACCTAAAGGTAATCTCATAGGATATAAATTGATGAGGGATGGGTACCCGTATAGGATAGCCCTGGAAAATTTATGAGCCATCTCATGTGAAAAGAATTGGTCGCTCGCTCCAGCTCACATGACCTGGGGTTGTCCACCAACTCTTCGACTCAGTTGGCGAGAATTGTAGAGCAGGAACTGTCACGCAGCTAATATAACTACACGTTTGACAATAGAGAACTAAATATGATCTGATTGACTTGTAGTTATGTTGTGTGATACTTGAACTTTACGGACCGCCAATTAACAAATAAAAAATAAACCTTTCGAGATTCATTTCTCTATTGGAAAAACCATGTTATGAGAGAAACAGCTTGTAATAAAATTAATTGATCAATTGCATGCTAAAGGACGTCGAAATGAGAAGCAGCTGCTGGATTCGTTTTTTGTATCGGATGTATGCGAATAAAAGCTGCTTGTAAATCGCTCGGACGAAACCTATGTTACCTCTATTGTTAAATTTTCTTTTTAGTATGACCTTCTGTGCTTTGATTCGTATGCAGCATTTTATAACAGAGTATAAGACTGATATACAGTGACGCTCAAAATTGTTCGTACATCTGACAAATGATCTTGTTTCTTTAATATCTTAAGATGAGTTCAAGATATAGTGGTGTGATTTTCACCAACATGTCGCTCTGTTGTCATAGATTTTTTGCTGAAAGTTTAGCTGTCTAAGTCCTATATTTATTGTGTTAGACTAAAAATAGTAAAAGTGAGATGCCTTGATTCGGCTGAAAATTGTTCGTACGCCTAACGAATGGAGCAAAATGCATTAACCTCTCAGTACTTTCTCTGTAATTTTTTTTCTCTTCAACAAAAAGACATAATTGTCTTAATGGAAAGGTTCGCCGTGAAATTCTCTATAAACTGGTCTATTTTACTTTGATTAAATACCCTTCATCATACTTTAAAATGAGATGAATTTACTTGACAAGATGGTCACTACTTTCAAAAAACAACTATTTTTAACTTTTTTCTAATCTCTTCTTATCTGCTATTTCTTAGTAAATTCATTTCATTTTAAGGTATGATGAAGGGTATTTAATCAAAGTGTAATAGACCAGTTTGTAGAGAATTTCACGGCGAATCTTTCTATTAAAACAATGATGTCTTTTCGTTGAAAAGAAAAAAAGTTACAGAGAAAATACTGAGAGATCAATGTATTTTTCCCCACTCGTTAGGTGTACGAACAATTTGGAGCCAAATCAAAGGATCGCATTTTTACTACTTTTAGTCTAGCACAACAAATCCAGGACTTAGACAGCTGAAACTTTCAGCAAAAAATCTATAACAACAGGGCTACATCTTGGCAAAACCGCACCTATATATCTTGCACTCATCATAAGATATTAAAGAAACAAGGTCATTTGTCAGGTGTACAAACAATTTTGAGCGCCAGTGTATATGTGGACAGTCAGTGAAGTTTTTGTTCGGATCGCTGTGCACTGCGTTCTGTACGTATTTTACTCTGATTCATTAACAACTTTCATGCCTTTGAACAAGTCAACTAATGAAATTTAGTAAATCATAAGTCCAATAATAATTGAATAATTAAATTAATTTGTGGTTTATTTTTGCTCATGAAAATGGACGATGAAGAATTACCATCGGAATCAACATCACGTCCAATTTTTCGAAGCAAAGTCAACAAAACAATTAGTTCAAAAACAAAAAAAAAATCTAATTCAAGAAAAAAAAAAAAAATTCAATCAACATCAACATCAAGATCAAAAACATCAAAACAAGCAATTAACATCCACGTAGAAGAAAATTTAATTCATGTTAGTGATTGTATTGCAAGTGATGAAACAGATAATGATGAACCTAATCCACAATCAAGTGTCGTGACAAAAAAAACTTCTAAAACAAAATTGGATGTATGGAAGTATTTTACAATATTACCTAATGGAGATTATAAATGTAATTTATGTCCAGATTCAGCAAAAGTAATATATCTTTTCTTTTATTAGACCTTAATGGTGAATATTTTGAGAACTAGTGTGAGCCCGTGCATACTGTACGGCTGTTTTCTCCTTTAACGTATGATCTCAGTCGTTTAACTTTTCATTCGGTAACAGACATACAGACACTCGATATTATGTATATAGATGGATAGCCCTATGGTCTCATACTGTTATATCGTACATACTTTTATAGTACATGTAGGCTTTGCCCTTATGCCTTGTAATCAGGAAAATCAACAGGTCCGGCGCGATTCAATCGTGTTCAACTCATTAGCCTTGTTTATGTAGCCCCTACCTTGTTAGCCATGATTGATTACTATATAATCATTAATTATTGTCTAATATATGTATAAGTAAATCTTAGCACCACATATATATGAAATATATATAAAGTAAAATGATATATTGTAAAAACGGTATTCAAATGATTCATTATAAATAAATGAAAGGTCATAAATAAAAAAAAATGTAATGTATAAAAAGCATGTATTATAAATAAAATAAATGTAATCGATAAAAATAATACAATATATATTGATTATATATTCAGTCGCTAAAACGTAACTTATATGTTAAATATAAAATGAATGTAATAAGATAAAACAGTATAATATATAAAAACTATATATTAAATCACTTAATTTAAACTAATACATTATAGATAAATTAAAAGTAATAGATAAAAACATTTAATATATAAGAATTCTATATTAAAACAAAAAAAGCGCATCTTATACATTATAAATGAATTGTACGTAATAGATTAAAAACATATAGTATACAAACTTTAAATATTAAACCAAAAAGCTTAATTTACACTTTATAAATTAAGTGTAACGGACAAAAAATATATAATATATAACAATTATATATTAGAACACTAAAATGTGACTTATACACTATAAATAAATTGAATACTATAGATAAAGATCTATATTATATAAAGATTATATTAAACCAATAAAAGGCAACTTACACATTGTAAACTGATTAGATATAATAGAAAACTGTAAAATATAAACACTATATATTAGATCAATAAAACGTAACTTATATATCATAAATAAATTATATGTAATGGTTAGAAAATATATAATATATAAAGAGTATAAATTGTATCAAATAAACGTAACCTATAGATGATAAATAAACAAAGTTTAAAGAATTAAAAATATACTGTACATAAATAGTAGATATGTTAGGTAAATAATTGATAATGATTATTATATAATAAATTCTCTGAGCTAAAGGGACATGAGTAAAAAGGATGTGGGTGTGTGGTATGTCACTACGTGCTTTTCCTTCAAAGATAGTTTGAATTCACTTGAATTAGGCTATTTTTGTCGGATTACAGCAGAAAATTTACGCTTCTATTAATCAACTGACCGAAATCTGAAACGAATTCGAAAGTGGACATAGGAGATCTCATGAAATAGCGATCATGCATATATTAAAAATTCAAAGCAGAGAAGGAAACGCTAATACTTCCGTGACTATTATCTGGTAGTATCGAAAGTTTGAGACAGAAAGAAAACTATCATTTAGATCATTAGAAAACATGAGTAAAGATAAAAGAAACCCGTGAGAGATTATAATTAAATATCAATTACACAATTATAATCGAACGTAGACAACTATAGTACCAGGGCAAAAGACATGACTGAAATATAGTATACGGATAGAAAATGTAGGATAAAAAGAGACAGATGATACTGAGCATGCACAAAAGAAAGAGAAGTGTGACCTTGCGTATGAATAATATGTGACAAGAGAGTGGAAAGAAAAAAATATCATATATGTATATATTGTAGACATTCAAAATACAGGGTGACTCTAATGCTTCCTAGGCATGATTGAAATTCTAATTTTGCTCAACCAAAATTAGAATGGCAATGTTGACCGGGCATTTGTCAGTTAGTACTGGATTTCCTTTAAAAATATTGGTTGAAAAAGTAAACAGTTAGGGTTTAAACAGAATAACTATCTTTCTTTTTTTCATGAAATATCTTTTAATTTAGCTAAACAAGATACAGTTCTTGACACTTCAATTCATTCACCGGTATTTGTACAGTTGCTTACTTAAATTCGAAACTTATTAAACACTAAGGACAAAATAAAGCTGACCATGATAAAAAAAAAATCTGTAAGCTTCAGCTGCTGAATCAAATGATACTTGCATAGATACTACAATACATGACTTTGATATTTGTGATCAACATTGAAAAGGAAGAACATAAATATATATATATATATATATATTTATTTCGATCTGCTCACAGTGTATTATAATGCTGTAAAATTAAGAATACGCCAAGTACTATTCCAACCTAATCAGTTGAAAGATTTTAACAATAAGTAGCATGATAGAGCATCAGCACTCCCTATAAAGTATAACATATAAAGACAACATGTTTGTCTGGTTATAGTCAACGAATGGCCCAGAAGAACTGTTGCCAAATAATTTGATTTCTTTTACATAATACACGAATACGGATAACAGAAACACGCCGTAGTAAAAAGACAGGACAGTTAATTAGTGTATTGATTGATGCTGTCGACAGATTATGATGTGAGTGATTCCTTTTTGCCTGAATAGCTGTTATAAATGTTTGTTGAATAGGCGAATAATATTTGATATCTATTTATAGCAAAATCGAATGCAAAATCATGTATTTGTTTAGATGTTTAAAACTTTAGTTATATACAACATTCTAATTGATTTCATTCTACAATTCTTATTCCTAAAGTAGAATTATTCTTCAGTATGAGAAGCCATTCATTATATATTCAGAAAAAGCGCCCTGATATTCATTTCATAAAAACTTTTCTTCATCTCGTTGACCTTATTGTGCAAGTCGCTTTACTTTTATGGGATCTACAAAAACGCTTTCTACCAAGAATGGTTTTATACAGACTATATGATGCACTATAATTCGACGAATAACTTGTCGGAACTTGACGGAACCGACTGGATTCTGACAAACGGATCTTGTCGAATCAGCCCTACGGATTTCATCGGAATTCATTAATCGGAATGCATCGAAAGTTACAGGAACTAGTTGAGGTTCGGTGGGATTTCGATAGTCTGAATCCGATCGGATTCAATCATCGGAATTCATCGAATTGAGGAAGATCCTACAGTATCCGATGGCTTAGTTTCGACCTGGGTTAAGGTGTCCCTCAGACACGATTTTCCACTTGGGACCGCACATTTGAGCTGAAACTTTCATGGATGATTTATCCTGGTGAGATACACGTCTGGTAAAAATTTCAGTCCTATAGATCGTACTGGGCCGGTGTTCCAGCTGATTTACGATCCATTTTTGGAATCGATGTAACTCTCTCATGAGACCGGCTATAGAGCTCGTGGTGGTTTCAAATTAAAGCTAGTGTCAGTGCGCAACTTTTGTCCCATCAGAATTTTTAAATTCCATCCCATTCATTTTTTATGAGCATTTTTGGTGACAAGGTCTAAAAATCAGTATAAAAAGTGCTGGTCCAACGACAGTAAATTCCACTTTTCTCAGCACAGGAACAAATTATAAAAAATCCGTTCGGACAAAAGTTAGTTATGATGAAGACCTTTAAAACAAAAAAAAAATATTGGGGTATAGCCTGAATCTGGAAAGAGGAGTTCCAATTTTCCTGTCTGGAAACCGTATTTTGAGAAAAACGCAAAAAAAAATTTAGAACTGGATTTTTTTCAATCAAATCCAGGAAAAATCATATTACAATGGTATTTTATTAATTCATTCCAATGGACTGTTTTAAAGCACGTAAGAGATGAAGGTAGCTAATGCCGTCTGACATGCTGGGTAATATAAAAATGTTCTACTCAATGTTAGTGCAAGTGGCAACGCAGTTTTTCCAAAACTGGAAACCCTTAAAAACCACGAAAGTTTCTCAAAAAACATGGTGGTAGAATCAAAGTTTGATGTGATAAATCTTTGGAAATCTGATCATTTTCCAAAAAGCCATAGATATTTTGAAAGAGGAAGCTTCGCTGCATCTTTCTATGATAAAAACTCAACTTCAATATCTGTTTGAAAAATTGGATTTCCTAAGGGGGTCTCTTAAGTACCCATGGGTATCCCAATATAGTAGCCCTTGACGCCTTCCCTTTGTAGGCTTATTTGACGTTTAACCTTTGACCTTTAACCCAGCACAGACAGGCAGACACACAGACACACAGACACACACTGAACATTATATATATATAGATACATATACATTTATTTCGAATACTTTAATTTTTCACAAAAATTGTCTCCAGAATGTTATTTTACTTATGTTCTTTTCTACTATTCTTTGTAGACATTTCCAAAATCAAATGAATCATTTGATACAAATCTTCGTAGTCATCTTGGTCGAACTCATAAACTAACAGATTTTCTTTATCCATCACAACTTCCAACGAAAAAATTACCAAAAGAAGAAAGTATACCTGATCAACGTAAAAAAGATTTAGATACAGCTGCAATTCAAGCCATTATTGAAGATTCTCATTCGTTCAACATTTTTCGTAAACCTGGAATGCAAAAATTTCTTTCCAAAGCTGTACCAGGTTATCGTGGTCCAAATCGACGGACAGTCGTTAAACGTTTAAAATCTATGTATAAAGAACGACGATCAACGATTCGTAATAATTTATCTTCCGTTTCGGATATTTCTCTATCTGCTGATATTTGGAAAAGCATACGACGAGATCATTTCTTATGTTTATCTGCACATTATTATGATGAACACTACCAATTTAAATCAAATGTTATTGCTTTTCGTCGTTTTCTTGGTCCCCATTATAGTGATCGAATAGAACAATTTATTACTCATGAAGTTGAAAAACTCAATATTGAAACAAAAATTCGTTCATTAACTACTGACAATGGTAGTGATATACGACTTGCCTCACAAAACAAATTTAAATTTGGAACAAGAATTTCATGCTTAACTCACGTATTAAATTTAGTTGTACAAAATGGTCTGTGGTTGTTCAAAATACCAATAAAACCAAAGTAAGCAGTCTTTCTTTATGAAAAGAGAATGGCAGTCTTTTGATAAATAAAAAGCTGCGTATTCATATTAGGATGATTTTTGAACTAATTGCGAAGGACCAAAATAAAGTTTTGCATCGATGAAGAATTTCCGTTTACAGGTTTTCAAACATGTTTAAAATTCTATTGTACATCATTAAAAGCTTTTCTCTCTTGAGTTATGTAGAATAAAAATATATGATCAAATGCATATGCATTGAGTGATCAGAGAGTTATCTGCATTTTGGCTCTTTAAGTCTATTTTATTCCTGAAATAGACCTGACTCTTTGAGACTTAACCAGTGTAATCGAGTTCATATCTGAGTTGTAGAAAATTTGGGTAGTAAACATGTCTCTGTAATAAACTTTATTTAATAATCTAGTGCTAAATTGATAATGCTACGAATTTATTCGCTACTTAAACGTTTTCAAAAGCGGAAGTACATAATCAGACGATTAAAAAAATTGTTTGATAGTAATTCTATGAATTTCCCCTTCAATTGTATCAAAACTCATTGAAAATTTGATATTTGAGTAAGACATAAGGAAGATTGCTGGAATAAATGAAATTCATATATGTGAAATTTTGAAGTCAGTGCCACTTATTTTGTAACTAATTCGCTCAAGTATCTTCCTTTTTTAATGCATACAATAGTGATGACTGTTTAAAATCTGTCTGTTTGATCTGTAAGATTTCAATACAGAGAAAAGATGACTATAATGAAGCAGCCTGTCTAAGCTTGATTCATTCACTGGATGAATAGTCAACCAACACAAGAAACGGAAGAGAAAAAGGGAAGATTGACTTATGAATGTTTATCATTATACACCGAACAATCATATTCACATATGCAAAAAGTGAACAATGATGAACTGTATGATAAGATACTTTCTTTTTTTCCACTTCTTGAAAAGCTCATACAAATCATTTGTCTTAGATATAATTTTTAATTATAAGTAGATAGACTTGCATTTATTCTAGATTGGATAAAAAGATATAAATTGTTGCTAAAACTGTTCAGAATTTTCAGGTCTCATATGTTTTAAAGTATTTGAAAAGATAAAATTGTTCTTCTCTTATATCAACTTGCAATTAGGGGTGTCACACTTACTACTTACCAGGTAAGTGGTAAGTGTTTTAATCATTAGAAAATTATCGATATAGTACTAATAAATGAATATCCTAATTATGAATTATTCATTCTTGCGTAGTGATCTTCACCTCTGACCACTTTCCGGCAAATGGTAAGTGGTATTACTTACCACATCCCTCTTTACTTTTGATTCAACTTATGCATTAAAAACAATTTTATTTTTGTCAGCTAATTTCACAGTATTTTATTTGTTTTGACGCAAAAAATTCTCAGTATTAGAAAAAAGTACAAGTTGTCTCACGACCAGAGATAAGGAGTATTTTTTAATTATAAACAAATTCTTCATGTAATTTTCTAATAGTAAAATCAAGTGCTTTTTATTTCACGAAGAGGCTAATGAGCATGTAATAACAATCTCATTTTCTAATGAATATATGACACAAAATTTTCTTTTAATTCTAAGAACAATCAGAGAAAATATAACAACAGTTATATTGAAGTACATGTGACACCAAATGAGAAAAACATAGTGCAAAAAAACCCAACTAAATATTTCTATCCATAATAAAGTTGCAAGTACAGGGTTGCCAAAAATATTTTTTCAGTGGAATACCGCTATAATTTCAAATAGAAGACATAATGAATTTTATATCAAATGAAAGCTCGTCAGAAATGGGGTTTATTGATACTAAATACTAAGGGTTATGAAAACTTTTTAATATCGAACCTAAGAAATTTTCAGAAATTTTATACTTTTCTTTAGTAGAAAAGTAAGGTGCCAGGAATTCAAAAATGGAGCAACATGCTTTTCTTGGATATTTTTACATGGTTCAATAGAGCTAGTCAAGCACTACAAAGCTGTATATATATTAAAAATTTTCTGAGTCATTTTTTATGATAAAAAATTCAAAAACAACTATTTGGAAAATCTTAAACAACGTTAAAAGAGTCATATTTTTGATATGGAAGAGAAACACTCGAATTTTCAAAAAAATTAGCTTTTTCTTGATTATTTTTACTCCCTCAGGCATTTCAAAATATACTCATTCGATGCAGCATGAAAAACTGCATCGAATGCGTATATTTTCAAACATCTTACATAAGGATACTAATAAAAAACGGCTAAATTTAGTATAAAAAAGATCACTTTTTTCCCTAGAAAGAGTGTAAAAATAAATGCGGGTTTTTTGGTACATTCTTTACACATTTTTCAGTAAATTTTAACTGAACAACTCTGTTTAATAATTATTTAATATATACAGTTTTGTACTGCTCGACAAGCTCCATCGAACCATGTAAAAATATCCAAGAACAGCATTGTACTCCATTTTTGAATTACTGGTACCTTGCTTTTCTACTGCAAAAAAAGTATAAAATTTCTGAAAATTTTTTAAGTTCAATATTAAAAAGTTTCTCCCTGGAAAAACATTTTTGACAACCCTGTACACTTTTTATACTGTAAATCAAATTTAGTATTCAACAGAAATGTACTATAAGATGCAGCACGTTCTGAGCTTTCTTCCTATATATAAGTGGTAAGTTAATAAATAAAAACGTTTTTATAATAAAAAAAAAACCAAAAAACAAATATCAAAGAGCATAATAGAAAATTTTCGTGGGTTGTAATTGTTTTTTGATAAAACAATCATTATTGAAAATATACCTTTAATACGTAGCCTAATCGAGTTTGAATCGATTATTATAAAACCCAGACACATTGAATATCAACAGAAAAATTCAAAAATGTAAAAGCAATTTGTGTCATGATAGCTATATCACAAACCGCCTGATTATGCAACTTGTTTTGAAAAATTCACATATTTTTTTAGTGATATAAATTTTGTTTTGACACATCATATGAAAAAAATAAGGGTCGATATTTAGATATGAACTCGGAGAAATGATTATTCAAAAAATGGTGACAGATAAAAGTAAGATCGTTCTACTTTCAACATACTCAAATTAAGATATTATCTTTTTATTGCAATGGTAACAAACTCACAACTACAAACTAATATGACATCCTTGTCTCAATAAATAGTGAAGTATAAACTCTCCCGTTCACATATATTATTATAGAGAATACTCTACATAGATTCATTTCATTCTTGAAGCATATTCTGATATCACCGACATATTATTTTTTGCAGTCATATTTAAGCAAGGAGGTTTTCCTACAGGAATAAATGTGTTCTAGACGGCACTACAAAGTATCATCCAGTGTTTACAATTATTGATTAAACTGACTGTTGAGTTAACGTAACTTTTTTTGATTTAATACAATCAAAAACAATAATTCTGTAGTGTATTATGATTGTTTGAGCATCTGTATCACTAATCATAAGAAATGTGCATCATGTTAAAATTTATAGTCTTTTTGCACACTCCACTTTCATTTGCTGTTTGGTATTAGGTTTGGAGCAGGTCGACGTTAGAACCTATTTGGTTTTTTAAGACCATATGAAACCTCGATTTCGAAGACTTATTGAAACTGTCAAATGTCAAAATTTATATTTTTATTCAACTAAAGCCAAAGCAATTTGAAAAGTTATTTATGTAATTCTCTATGCTTCGTCCTCATCGTTCTTTATTAAGAGAATCTTTAACATGAATTTAAGTGAATTGATCAAGGCGAGTTAAAATTGAAGTAACGATAACTTTTGTACAGATGGGCTAACAAAAATTATTAAATAGTACTTAGGTATGAAAAAAATTCGTATTTGCCGATAGAAAACAAGCCACTCAATAATATATATATACATAAGAAATGCAGAAAAAATTGAGAGTGCAACAGATCATGTGTTTTCCATTTTTTTATTATTAGAAATAAAGAAAAATATATTTCTTGTAAAGTTCATGAATTTTCGACTTTTTTTGAAAGTCAGCATCAGATGAACTACTAAATCAAATACCAACTGAACCGAGATAACTTGCACAATTATTCATGTATTTGTACACTTATATATATGTTTCAAATTAAATGGTATTGCTCAATCTATTATGATTTATTTGATTTATTAATGTACATTGCAGTTGTTATGAGACTTATATTATATAGTAACATCTAATAAAAGTTAAATTGGATATGGTATTGAAGTTTGTTATGATGTTAAAGAAAATGATTGCATTTGTATTTTGTCATAAGTGTACAAATAAATTAATAATTGTATAAATTATCTCGGTTCAGTTGATATTTGATTTAGTTGTTTATTTGATGATGACTTTCAAATAAATTCGAATATTCATGAACTTTACAAGAAATATATTTTTCTTTATTTCTAATGTAAAAAAAATTAAAAACACATTATTTTTTGCACTCTCAATCTTTTACTGCATTTCTTTTGTATACATATTTGTTTAAAATTAAATGATACTGCTCAATTTATTACAATTTATTTGGTTTATCGCCTAATGATATATATTTTGAGAAGTTGATATATAAAAAGGTAAAAGAAATTCAGACTAGATGTGTAAAGTGTGAAATATTAAACTGAAATAAAAATGTATATAATAAAAAAGATTGAAAATTTCGATGAGATAACACATAAGAGAATATTAATGAGAATAATGATGAAAAGCTGTGGAAAGTTTTGAAATAGTATGGAGAGTGTCGACAGTCTATTAAGAAAAATGCAATATATCTTAGTATTCATAATGATTGTTTTCTTGCGAAGATAGATTGACTATCAAGTAAACACATTACCACTCAATATTTGACATTATTTGAAGTGAATGCAAATAAGCAAAAATAGAACAGAGAACCAACTTAATCTGATACAACAAGATTAGTGGCAAGCTTACTAATATGAAGTATTCATACTTCGAGTTCAGTCAATACATCATGTTATACACATGCACGAGTTTTCATCTGACTAACCGATAGCGTCAATATCTTCAAAGATTGAGAAAACCTAAAGATGACTTTTAGCGCCATGTACCTAATTATGAGTTCATGAGTACATTGATGAAGAACAATAAGAACGGTATAGAGAGACTAGAAATAATGAAGTATTGAGTTGTTGGGTAAGATTTAAGGCTACTTTATATTTAACAAGCGTTTTTTTCGAAATCATTACAAATTCTTCGTGTTTGACATTTGTTCACAAGAATCACTGAAAATTGGAAAACTTCATTACTTCTTTTGCCACTCTTTTTGTTCAATCTTTGCCAATAGAAAAAGTTTCATTAATTGTTTCATGTTTAATTTTCATCATTGGATGTTATGTATAAGAAAAAAGTGTTTTGTCTACTGTAAAATACTGATTAAAGTTGATTTAACTGACTTTGTAGTCGAAAGCTAAACATTCTGGTAGCAAGCATCTATTTTTTCTGATAGTGAAAAATATGTGTATTGTCTAAATAAATAGTTATCAAACATAACCTTTTAAGCCTCGATAATTGAACACTATTATTTAACCCTTTTCAAACATATTCAATGATAAAACTCTCTTTAGAAAGACATCGAAAAAGAGTATTCAAGCAAAAAGTACGACTGGAAAAGATTTATAAAGTGATATTCATATTTTTTTGAGCTCTTTCAGACCGGAGTTATTGTACAAACAAAAAGTAATCTTTCGATCATTTTATCGTATGTATGTCAAAGTGATTATGTGAAAACTTCTTTTTAAAAAACATCTTTCTCATGTTTAGAAAAAATGCTACAGTGCACAACAAGCCTTTTTTAATCTAATTTGAGTTTCTTTTAGGATATGCTGAATTCATTTTTTTCATCCCTATGTTCGCCCATGAATTTGGTCACGAAAAGAAGATCAGATTAAGACAACTCTTATTCATCTTTTTTCAAAAAAGGAGTCTTCTACACTGTAAAATAGAATTAATATATTAGTAGACCTGTCTCGAGAGATAATATCTTGTAGAATTCTCTAAGAACCTTTGGAACTTTTCCAGCTCGACAAGTTTGTACGAGGCCTAAACATGCTATTGACCAGGATGCAAGTCCAGCACGATTTCTTGTTTTTATTTCAAGTAGGCTTTTTTCTGCTTCAATTTAAAGTGAAGAGACTTCGTCAATGATAGTATACAGTTTATTGGAGGACACACAATTCCTTCTCTACCAAAAGCTAGGTAGCACAATACATGTACCACCATTCTCAAAGGCTAAAATAAATGAAAAACCTATCAAGTTTCATTGAAATGTATTTTTGGCAATTTCGAACAAGAAGATGCTTACTGAACGATGACAAATTGAAGTGTTTGTATACTTCCGGAAACGTTATAAGACTACCGGTTAGTGGGGGCATTAGAACTTCTTGCGAAAGATTAACGATTCTAAGTTCGGTCGACCGTCTTGGAAGACTGTTAATACTTCTTCATATTATTTGTTTTCTCTCATCTAAATGGCATCATACTTGCCTATGCGTACATGAAGTTCATACAATTTGATAAAGAGTTGATAAAATAAAATGTATAGCCTACCTTCAGTTAAATACAAACCGTTTACCTGGAAGTAATATTTATCTTTTATCTACTAACTAATTAGCGATATCGATCACTATTACTACTTACTAGTAAGTGCTACTTACCACTTATCAGTAAGTAGTAAGTACTAACACTTGCCACTTACCAGAAAGTGATAAGTGGTACCACTTACTAGGAATAGTAAGTGGAATATGACATCCCTACTTGCAATTGAGCAATAGCTTCAGACACACAGAATGAATGTTAAGCTTTAATCGTTGCTTCATATTCCTTTCACAGAAATTTATTTTTTTTTCTCAAATAGTGTAACACCACCTTTAACAACAAATACCACCGCATCAACAATAACAGTAACAAAATCAAAAAATACCAAATCAAATAATACTAAATTAAATAATATTAAATCAAATAACACTACATCAAATTCGACATCATCAAAAACAACTACAACCAAATTAAATACAGTTTCATCTTCATTCGGTAAAATCAAATCAAATTTGATATTATCAGCATCAAGTACAACAAAGTCTAATAAAACAACAGTACCATCTATGGATTCATCCACCGAAGATGATGATTATGATTTTAACATAGACGATGATGCAGTTTGGGATCAAGTCAGTGATGATGATAATAAAAATTATATTATTAATGAAGGTGGTGATGTTGATAATAAAAATTATATTATTAATGAAAGTAGTGATGTTGATAATTCATCTGATAATATATCAACAACATCATCGTTATCAGATGGTGTATCTAATTGGTCATCCTCAGAAAATGATGATTATTATGACGATTTAAATACACCATTATCATCAACAATTATACAAGAAGAATTTATTAATACATCATATGCTCAACCATCAATTCTATTATCTCATGTTCATATGCTTCTTCAACGTGTTCGAAAACTTGTGACGATGATACGGAATATAAGTGCATTGAACAGATATGTTGTTAAACAAATAAAATTATTCTTGGAAAATTTAAATCGTCAACGAGCAGCTGAAAATAAAAAAAAGATTAGATACAAAGAATTTACATTAGACATGAAAATTAGATGGAATTCATCTTTCGTAATGATATCACGCTTTGTTTTTTTTAACTCAATTATTACTTCACTAACATATAATCCATCTGAACAAATCAATTTAAAACAAAGCCAATATAGAAAATTAAAAAAATTATCATTTACATCTTTAGATTGGTCTATATTAAAAGTACTTGAAAATATTCTTGCACCATTTAATAATTCAACAACAGTTCTTTCATGTCGACGTCGACCAACTTTGTCCATTTGTAAACCTGTTATTCGTGGTTTAATAAATTTTTTAAAAGTAGCTGATGATGCACCACATACATTAGAGAATTTATTGAAAAAACAATTATTATTGAATTTAAATTTTTATTTGAATAAACATATTACTGATGAACAAAATAAAGCTATGTTGGTATGTATAAAAAAAAGCTGTTAGCGAAATCCCTGCGGGAGTAAAATGTGAAGCATGATATACCTATTTTTACTAATTTCCTAAAAACTGCTCTTTTTTACATACACTGGGCATATTCCACTAGCATTGCTAGATTTACAGAATAGAATTTCATAAAGGAAATACTCCATCAATACTCCGATTAGATGCTAGTTATACAGAACATTTGACAGTCTGTTTGAAGGCCGCTATCGGTCACTGTGAAGACCCATGAAGGATGACTGTTACGGTCTGTGAGGGGTTCGGACTTGTCTGTCACAGTCTGTGATGGATTCGCGCCTATTTGCCACGGTCTGTAATGGTCTCTGGAGCCTGTCTGTCACGGTCTGTAGGGAAGGGGGATGTGTGCAAATTGCTACCCTATATACTTCAACACTCCTTTCAGATTGTGTTTCAGAAAAGCCTACTTTGAAGGAAGAAAATGAGAAAAATCTGCATCGTTTTTACATATCGAAAAACCAGTAGCATTTTTGTTCATCTTTTATCAAGCACCTTTTAGATTTGTTTCTAGGAGATAAAGTAGGCATTTTAGCTTTTTAAATTGTCGTCAAGCCCGCTGTTTTTTTTATCTGATTAGATATTTTTCTAAATGCATCTTTTTCTTTCCGTGCTCCTCAATAAAATCGATAAAAATTCAAAAGAACCGGTTATTGTCCGTCTTTTCAGTCCTGCTTACTCTTTAGTTCAAAAGATTTTTATGAAATCATCGATGTCGGTTGTCTGTATTGAACAATTAGGTTCATTGAGATTTCAAATTATAGTAGAAAAGCATTACTTCGCACAAAAAGGAATTATGGAATATGCAGAATAATGCTTGTTCACAATTACTCTCAATTGAAGTTATGATTTTTCCTATTTTGTGCTTTATTACAGATATCGTCATTTTTGGACCCAGCAACGTGTCCATATATCAGTTGTGATGATCAAAAAGAAGCAGAAACAATCATTTCAAATGAAGCTCAACAACATTATACAAAATTAAATTCTCAATTATTATCATCATCAAGTCAATCATCAATAACGACATCATCAAATAAAGATAAACAAAATAATGAAGCAAACATTTTGAAAAATTTTTTTATAAGCTGTGGTATTGAACTACATACAGCATCATCTGATTTTAAACTATCAACTATAAAGGAAGAACTTGCTCAATATATTGCACCACAAAAACGTTTTCAAACTTGTAGTGAATACTGGAATGCAAATAAAGACCGTTTACCTGTATTATCTTCATTTGTTCGTCAATACAACATCATGTGTGCAACGTCTATTGATTGTGAAAGCGCTTTCAGTATTGCTCGATTTATTCATCGTAAAAGTCGATCTGCTTTAGCACCATCAAGCTTGAGATATTCCATGGTGTTACGTGAACAAATCAAAAATAAACAAATGTAATTTTTTCATTCATTATTTGATACTTTTTTAATTTTGTCTTTTCTTATACATATTTTGTTTTTACTTTTAACTTATGATTTTTTTTTTGTAAGTAAAGAAATATTATTTTGCTTGTTGATGCGTTTGGCTTTTCTTTGTATGATAAAGGCGTGAAACAAAAACAACTTCTCGTTGAACTTTGATTTGAAAATAAAATAAATGTTAATATAAGATGTATATAATTATTTCACGAATATGAAGCAATGAAACGTTCTAACTTAGTCTTAGTAACAGCATAAATCAACAGGAATATGTATAAAAATCTAGAACATACACTAAATTTGTATCAACAAGAAGTAGAGGGTAATATTTCGATTATCCTTAAGTTTTTCTTACACAAAGGTTTCAATATAAAACACTCTTATAATTTCTCTCAACATACTCTCAGTGTTGCACTTCATTCTAATATATATTCTGCTCACACTACATCGCTAATTCTTTTTCATTTCTGAACAACTGATTCCAATAATTAAGATATTGCCACTATACAAATAGAACAAAGAAGAAATAACATATAGGTAAGAATGTCCGATAGATACAGGTTTCAATTCGTTTCATTTTTCTTTCTTATCAGTATACATTACTTCATCGCTTTTAACGCTAAAAAACGTCGCAGATCAACAGAAACTGTTCTATAAAAACAAGATCAATTGTTGATTGACAAGTATAACTGCTTTATAATGACTTACATATAGAAATGAACATAACAAACTGGTATATGCACTAGAGATCAGTGATCCTTCCACTAAGAAAAATTTCTCACTTTGTTTTCTACATCAAGGAAAAACTACTTTGGAAAAACTGGAGTCTTTCATGACACTGCCCAGTGAAAAATATTTATCAAAAAGAACGGCATAGAACGCGTTCCAATTTCGTAGAAAACTTTTTTTAAGAAAAAAAAACGTTTGCTATCAAAAGTGGAATCCGTTCCGAAATGGAACGGTCAAGAACACGTTCTCATCCTTAAGGAAGGTTTTCTTTTCTTAAAAAAATGGCTTTCACGTTCTCGGAACGCGTTCTTGGTCGTTACCATTTAAAATGATGAAAAACGCGTCCCTAGATTAGCTTTTCCTATGAGAACCCTCGAAGAGTTCCGAATGATTGACAAAACCTCTTAGGAAC